CAAAGGACCATTGGCCGCTCAACCAATTTTTCCCAATGCAGTCAGCGCGAAAAACTGCTGCCGGTCCTGGTAGGGAAACTAGAGCCCTACGCGGGAGTTCTTCCGCGTAGAGCCCTACGCGGCCCGAGACCCCTAATTTTCTCCGGGTACATGCCATCTGCTTCGCATCTAGAACCTTCCTGGAACCTTCCTGGAACCTTCCTGGGATCTTCCTGGAACATTCTTAACCTGTCAGACCTGTCATCCATGGGGTGGGTTTCGTCCGACGGAAGAAAGCGATGCTCTAATTTGATTACCATCCGGTCCTTATCACTTGGAGTTCTACTCGCCTGAATAGAATTCCTATTCACACGAGCAGAACTCTATTCATATGTGCATAATTCTATTCACACGAGCAGAACTCTATTCATATGTGCATAATTCTATTCACATGAGCAGAACTCTATTCATATGTGCATAATTCTATTCATATGAACAGAATTCTATTCATATGAGCAGAATTGCCTTGAATAGAGGGAAATTCTCTTCACATGAACAGAATTGCCTGCACCTCCCACCCAGAGTTTCCCATGCCTCCACCCTTTGAACCACAGCTGGAACTCGGCGACCTCGTCCTCCGTCATTAGCGTCGCAGCGGGCGGTCACGGGCGGTTTTCGGGGCAACCGGGCCAGTCTCCCGCTGTTATCAGGGCAACCGGGCCAGTCTCCCGCGGTTATTGAGACAATCGGGCCACAGTCTCCCAAGGCTGCCTGGCGATCAGGCCCACACTGGGGAACCTGATCGATTCGGTGGCGGCTTTTTTTTTTTTAAATTTAAATAACATGGTCGTCATTTGCATTAAATCACTGCAGACTTATGTTGCATGGAGGCCGAAGAATCGTCAATTTTTTAATTAAAATAAATTTATTTGCAAAATCAATATTGCCTCTGGCAACATCGATCCGAGAAATCTGAAGCTCTGCCGTTTCTCATAGTAATTCTAAAAGTGTTTGATGAATTTGAAATCGGAATGAAAGCGAGATTTCGACGGTTAACCACATTACCGATATCTGATAAATTAATCAAATAAGTAATTTATCTGATAAATAAATTTCTTTCCAGATTCGGAGAAGCGAAGCGAGACCGGCGACGAGATGGGGATCTCGGAGAAGCGGTCCCCGCTGACCGGGGACGAGGACCCGAACAGCAGCAGCAACCACCTCCCGAGCCCCAACCTCCCGAGCCCCAACCTCCCCAGCCCCAACCTCCCGAGCCCCAACCTCCACACCGGGCACAGCAGCCCCGCGCCCTCCCTGGTGGACGTGGACGACTCGGCCGAGAAGGACGCCCCCGGCGGGGGGCAGACCGGGTCGGACGGGGAGCTCGAGCCGGAGTTCGCCCCCAAGCGGAAGCAGCGCCGGTACCGGACCACCTTCACCAGCTTCCAGCTGGAGGAGCTGGAGAAGGCCTTTTCCAGGACGCATTACCCTGATGTCTTTACCAGGTGAGAAATATGTTTTCACTTGAATTTAAATTCAAATATATTAACAAAACATTACTAGTTATTTTAATCTATTATCTTATCACTTATTTAAAGAATTATACATTTCTAAATAAAGAATTATAAATTTATCAAGGGAACAGTACTTGATGAATTTGTAAAATATATTTAAAAGAAATGAAATAGAGCCGAGGTATTCCTCAAGGAAACGAATTGATCAAACCCGATTAATCGACATGGTTGACTCAAACAGCCTCATTCGAATTGAAAATAGCCTCATGCGAACTGAAAATAGCCTCATTCGAGCCGGTACCAACGAGAATAGGGAAAACCCAGATGGGAGGGAAAAAAAATTGGTCGGATTTGAACACGCAGGTGTCCTGCGGTTCCTCGTGAGTCGTTCGGGGCGGTCGTAAAAGATAAATTGCCCTGGAAGTGTCGTCGCAATGAGGACAATAAGGAAATCGGAAGAACTCCCGCGTAGGGCTCTAGTTTCCCTACCAGGACCGGCAGCAGTTTTTCGCGCTGACTGCATTGGGAAAAATTGGTTGAGCGGCCAATGGTCCTTTGGCCAATGCTGTATTTCATGTCCTCGGCTCCGTGAAATACTTTTTACCACCGGCAATTCCAATCATGAAATTCAGTAGGTGCCGGCAATTGCATCGAAGAGACTGGGAGTTTGAGGGGAATTGGCACTTAATAACATATCGAAAATTTTGATGGTAATAGGACTTTCTGTCGGAAATCTCGCAAATACTGTCGGTCGGTATCAATTGTAAATGTTGTTACCACTGATGAGTTACCGCTAAACCCCGAAATTCATTATAATTGGTTGAAACTGTTTATTATTCAGCCTGGTATCTCTCCGACGATAAAATTAATTATTTTGCTTCTCGCAAAAAATACCCAATAATTTCCATGTAGAGTTGAATTCTATATGAAGATATAAAATACATTATTTCATCCCCCCCCCCAAAAAAAAAAATATATATATATTCCAAGGCAATTTACCACATTCGAGAGCGATTCCGAGTCAAAAAAAAAAATCCCAGGGACCCCGCCTAAAATTGCCAACCGAAATTGCCATCCCTAATCTCCCATCCTTCATGGGAAGGTCTGCTGCGGGCATGAAGGGGATAATGACTTGTATACCATTAGCCCGCGAACCTTTGACATTTTTTGTTTCGCGGCCGTACCACTCCGTCCCAAGTCAAGGTTCACGGGGATCTGGATCTGGTACTTCCGGATTTTTTTTTTTTAATGTGGAGACCAACATATATTTATATGAACATATATTTAATCCGGTACTAAACTAAGAATTAAATGATTGCCTTCCGTTCGCCTTCAGAGCGATTTAAGGAAAGTTGCGAGTGGCTTTCGTTGCAGCAGAAAGCTGCACATCTCGTCCCCTTGACGATTGGTGCCAGCAATTTCAATCACGAAATTTGGTTGGTGCCAGCAATTCCAATCACGAAATTCAGTAGTTGCTGGCAATTTCAATCAAAATTTAGTATGCGCCGGCAATTTCAATAACGACATCCCCAAGACATTACCAGCGCCAGCGCGTTGAGCCAATCCTTCCCAATGGTGCAGAAAAAAAAGTACTAGAGAAAAACAATAAGGGTCCGCATCTTTCCGTGCCTTTCCCCGCGGAGATACGAGGCAAGTATAACCAGCGAGAGGCACGAAATGCCACTGGCATCTCGTGCGAAATTCCACGAAACAAGTCGGCCAGGAACGAAACAGGTCACCGATCGCTCACGAAACTCTCGTTCGCTCATATTCGGTCCCGGGATTTTTTCCAATCTCGAATATTTTTTTTTAATACAAAATTTGCAAGTTTTCGATCATTTTCGCTAACCGATACTTTCCACGATGATTTCTGCCAACTCGGTTCGGCACATGCGGAATGGCATGCCAAAATCTCATGACCAAAATTATTATTATTTTTTAAATGAACTTTTGAATGAACCCATCCATTGAGAGGGTGTGACCGATCCGACTTTCATTCAGACAGAAGGATGAAAGAAAGTGGAGCTGCCTCAGAATGAAAGGGCGAGGGAGGCTTCCGTAGTCTTCTCATGCCGCCCCCCACCCTCTGCCCCCCTTATGCCCCCCTTATGCCCCCCTATGCCCCCAATTCGCCCCCCACTTGATCCATCATGGGATGAGCCAGGACGCAAAAAAAAATTCCCTGTTGAGAGATGAAGAAATCTGTAAACTCCACCAAATTTTGCGCCTTTTCACTGCCCTCATTGCCCTCATTGCCCTTATTGCCCTCATTGCCCTCACTGCGCATTGCCCTAATACTGTGGGACAACCGGGAACGAAAGGGATTTCCCCCCAGGAAGTTTCCTAACACCTCACGGCCTCATTACGGCCCCGAAAGTGAGGCTTGTCCCGAGCTCACGAATTTCTCATCCGCCGACAAGAAAAGCCAACGAAACGACAAGAACGGGAAAGGCGGAGCGACAAGAAAGGACGGAAACTTTCATTCACGGCGATCGCGACGACGAAAGTCCATTCACGGGCGATAACGCCATCATGACGCCGGAAATTGATTGTTTCGTTTCTCTCGGGGGAGGAAAAAAAAAATCCGCCAATTAACAGCGGGGCGCCCTTTGCGCAACTGAAAATCAAACAAAGCAAATTCTCCTCAAACAAAGCAAATTCCCTTCAAACAAAGCAAACATTCAGGAGTAAAAAAAAAAAGAAAGGACAAAAAAAGGACAAAGGTGTCATGTCGGATGAAACGTCTCAATTAAACGGCGGAAGCACGGATTCCCCCCCGAAACGATTGGGCAGAACAAACATAAAAGGACCTTTTTTGCCCCTCTCTCCGGGGGAGAATCGGGGTGGAATCGGGGGGGAATCGAGGGAGAATCGGGGGGGGGGGGGGGGGGAATCATGGCACCTAATCGATCACAATGCGTCGACGCAGGAATCACACTGCTTTGTGCCATTGTGTCACAGGTAACAAGGTTCCTTTTCTCTCTCTCTCGAGGGAAGTGATTGCCTGGAGGTGATTGCCTGGAGGTGATTCCTCAGGACGGGCCTTGTTTTCTTCGTTTTTATTTCGGGAATTTTTTCTTAATTTACTTTTTAGTTTTTCTCCCATTTATTTCTGAAATTTGTTGTTAAAAAGTAAGTTTTCAATCGAAAATGTTAAGTTCATCTGGGAAATTTCTATGAACTTCATCCCGATTGCTCAGTTTCATTCATTAGCTCGCTGAGGCAACTCTTGAGCAGCTGAGGCAACTTTTAAGCAGTCGAAGCAACTCTTAAGCAGCTGAGGCAATTCAAGATGCGACTGTCGCAGCGTGGCCCGAAAGGACTTAACGTGACTTAAAGAAATGATATGCGACAAATAATTTTCGTCGCTGGTCATGCTTCACGCCGATACGAAATGAGAATCGGCGAGAATAAGTGAGAATCGGTCTCAGCCAATTCTCACCGATTCCCCAGAGACAACAGAATAATCCAGTAATGCACAGGAAATCGTTGTGCAGTCACGAAACGAAAGACTGACTAATTGGCCACGATATCATCCGGACTTGCCATTCAGCGGCTCCATGGAATGCAGGCTAAATAATGGGAGAACAAGCTGAATAATGGGAGGACAAGCTGAATAATGGGAGAACAAGCTAAATAATGGGAGAACAAGCTGAATAATGGGAGAACAAGCTGAATAATGGGAGAACAAGCTGAATAATGGGAGAACAAGCTGAATAATGGGAGGTTTTTTCAAAATTTGCGAATTTATTTAATCTCTCAAAAATCGAATGAATTTAAAGTATTTCGTTCTCTTATCAAGACGAAACTAAATGCTAGTAAAAACTAAATCAAATTCAGATCTGATTCAAATATAATTCACATGTGATTCAGATCTGAACCTACGCGTAAATCGAGCGTCAGTCACAGCCAATTCCCTCGAATTAGCGATTCGGCGGACGTGACGCGGGGAAACAAACTGGTCGTGAATGCGCTCGGCGTTGCATGACGCCGTTATTGCATGCCCATCACGACGTCGTTATTGCACGGCCGTCGGTATTGCATGAGGGGAATCCGCGATGAGGATTCCCCCGCCGGATCTGCAGGGAATTACCGAGGCGCTTACGTAATTGAATCAGTTTATTAAGGATTACCACAAGAAAACTTAATCGTTCTCGACAAATTTATTCAAATATTATTCAAAATTTTATTTAATATATTATTTATCCAAGCTCGTTTCGCTTAATTTGATTATTTAATTATTTAATTTTATTTCATTAATTGTTAAAATAAACTGTTTCATTTCACTTCGTTACTTCATGCTTCGTTTCATTTCACCTTCTCACTTTCATTCATTGTTTACGTTATTCCACGTATTTCTTTACACGTTATTTAATTACTTAAATGCCCGAAACCGGCCCCAAAGCCGGAATCCGGCCCCCCAAGCCGGATTCCGGCCCATGAGGACACAGCGACGGCCTCACCGCAGGAAGTCCCCCAAGAAATCATAAACGCCGATCATTATTTTTTCCCTCTTTTCCCTCTTTTTTCCCCCCTTTCCCCCCCTCTTTTTCCCACTTTTTCAATTTTTCCCTCAATATATATATATATATTTTTTTATGACCGAGAAAACGGCATTGCGACACCCAAACGAATCGTCGTCTCTCGAGGGAAAAAAAAAAACGCCTGGGATTATTATTGAGACTTTTCTTGCGAGGACAATTCCGGATCCGCTCCAGCGTGAAATGACCCTGAAATTTTCCTCCCTTTTTCTTTCTGGTTTTCAGGGAGGAATTGGCCATGCGAGTCGGTCTAACGGAGGCCAGGGTCCAGGTGAGTCTCCATTTCATTTCCTCCCCCATTTCAGGAAGCTTTTCACAGTCGAAGGATTTCTCAAATGGAAATTTTTAATTTAAAATAATTTACAATCCAATTTAAATCAGCAATGAATTTAAATCAGAAATTAAATTTATATCAGAAATTGAATTTTAACTGGCAATTAAATTTTATTCGAATATCCAATTGTAATCAGCAATCCAAAATAATAAGTAATTTGTATTTACAAACCAGTAATTTAATTTTAACCAGCAATTATCACCAGGAAATTCTGCAATCTCGTTTAATATGCAGAGAGTTGGCGGACAGGCGTATGGCGAAATAATTGGTACGCATACGAAAATAATTGTCGGGATGCAAATGAGACCTTGGGCAAAGGAGTCCTTGACGCCAAAAAAAAAGCTTTTGGAAGGAATCAGGGCGGAATACCACTTCTGAAATTAATTTGCCTCTGCAGATTAATTTCAGAAATTGGCAAAACTTTTCTCGTAGTCCAAAGGCAAAGTTCTTTTGCAAGAAAAAAAAATTGCAGCCTTGCCAGAAACGAAGAAAATGTGCTTGGTAGATAAATAATTTAGAAAAGTATTAAGTCCAGAAATTTATTTGTAAACTTCACATCGAGCGCAGATTGGAATAACTTAACGTGAACTTAATGTGACCCCAGAGGTTCGTCGCACTGTTTCGAAAGGGGGAAAGGAAGGTCTGACCCCCATCAGGGCATCGAACACGATAGGGGCCGTGGGAAAAAGAAGCTGGAAGGGGATTCGACGGCTGGGAGGGGGATTCACCTCACGGGAGGGGGATTCACCTCACGGGGAGGGGGATTCACCGCATGCATTTATATTACGTATCCCTTTTCTCGTTGCACCCCGCCGCGCCGCATCATCATAAATGAGGTCCCGCATGAGGATCTGCCCCAACAAATAGTTCTGCTTGCTACCGTTGATTCGATTATGCCGATAATAAATTAAGGGGGGGGAGGGGGGCGCTTGGATTAGCATCGGGCTGGGAATTGACTCCCGCGATTATGCTGGTTCATTGGGGGCGCGGCGGGGGGCGAGGGGGGGCGGGGGGGGGCTGTGGCTCCGGGGGGGCTCCGGGGGGTCGCCGCCGTTTGTAATCCCTCCATGCATATATTCCGCTTCGTTTTTTGATCAACACTTCTTTCTCCTCTGTCTTGGGGTCTGGATAGCCGGCTCCGGGTCTAGATAGCTGTGCTCGGGGTCTGGATAGCGGTCTGGATAGGCGTGTTTCGAAATCCTCCTTTCTCGCTTGTCGGCAGTTCGATTTCATCACTTTGTAATGGCGTTTCCTTGCAGTCCATTACATCCATGAACGGTATATTTAACATTTTTAATGCAAATTTTCAAACTGGTGTTTTCTTAAGCATTTCTTAAGCATTTCTTAATCTTAACTTCATTGTGCTGAGATTTCTAGGAAGCATTCATGAAGATTGAACCGTTCAAGATCGTTTCGTTCCGGTGCGAAATTGACCTGCCCCCCGCGAACACGAATTCATTCTTCCTCTCTAAATGAGGTTCCGGATTGCTTTGCCGAGTTGTAACTCCGGGTTGCTACTCCGGGTTGCTACTCCGCGTTGCTACTCCGCGTTGCATTCCGGGACCCGCAGGTGTGAAATCCAAACGACAAGTGAAGTTCATGGCATATATAACATATGTAGCGACACATGTAGTCGCATCTGCAGTAGCATCACAACTAGTCGCATCGCAAGTAGTAGCATCTCCAGTAGCAACACGAGCAGTCGCATCTGTAGTAGCATCACAAGCAGCCGCCAGCTTAATAGCCCATACCGTGACATCAAATATAATAGCCTCCAAGAACCCATTCATCACAATAGCTACGGATGCAACCGCCTCACCCACAGATGCAACAGCCTCAACTACAGGTGCAACAGCCTCCCATTAGCCTGACACACGGCGAATAGTTGAATAATCATGCGGGGTGCGTGCCCGGGACAGTCGCTCAATATGCAATCGATGCGGCGAAAACCATTTGGTTTTTAAAGTGCTCACGGGGTCCTTTTCCGGACGGTGATGCATAAACATGCGAGGGGTGTTTAGGGTGACGGGGGGGCCATCAATTGGTGACGGGGGCCATCAATCGGTGACGGGGGCCATCAATCGGTGATGGGCGTCATCAATCGGTGACGAGCGGCGTCGATTGGTGACGGGTGTCATCAATCGGTGACGGACGGCGTCGGTCGGTGACGTGAGGCATCAATCGATGCCGCGTGATTTAATCGATGCCAATCCTAGGGATTTGCACTGATATGAGCTAATTCAATGGAAGAGTGAATTTGTCCATCACTGCGGGAGTTTCGCAGAACATTTTTCAATAGGGCCTCGTGCCGTTGCTGAAGGCGTTTGATCGCTCGGAAAATAGCCCAAAATAGCCAAATTGAGCGGCTATTACCGCCGGCTCAATTTTCCCCTCGATCTCGAGCCGAGCTCTTTTTTTTTTCCGCCGACTTTTTTTTTCTCTCCGGAACAGCCGGAATCTCCCCTTGCAATTTTTTTTTTTTTTTTGCAAGCTCAGATTCGACCCAGTCCAATCCCGATTCGGTTCGCGGAAGCTGTTCCAGATACTACTGCAATAATGAGAATGATAGTAAAAAAAATAAATAGATAAAAATAAAAATAAAAATAGCATTCTACTCTATGTTGAAATCGCTCCTTGCTAAATTACAACCAGCCTTAATCACAACAGAAGTCGTAAAAGCTGAATTACTTATATCTAAAAAAAAGTATTAAAAATTAAACTTTCCCTTCTCATGTCGGTATCCCTTAATGAACCAGGAAGTTGCATTACTTATTACTTATTACTTATTTATTGCTGCAACGAGTACTAAATGAAGATATTTGATTGCATATCTTCAGATAAATAAAAATATTATATACAAGTAATGCATAAATATATAAATGTACGAGCATATGTTTATGCATGCAATAAAATATAATAAAATATTAAATATAATCATTTAATAAAATATACTATGCCTATAATATTAAGTATAGTGGGAACTTGATTTTTAATATTGCTTTATTACTTTGAAATAATTTTAAAAGAGATGATACCTCGTATCATGCCGTCCATTTGTTGCGTGCGTTGCATCATTAGATACAGCTGAGCGGGAAATGATCGAGGCCAGATCCGGGACGTGCACGTGGAGCGTCCCAGGCGCGTCCCAGGCGCGTCCCGAATGGGACGTGGTACCTGGCTAATGCGCTCGGAGGCAATGGACTGACCGGAGTCCATTACGACGGACTGCCCGAGTCCATTACGGGCGGGGAATGCGTGGAAGACAAATGCGTTTAATCGGGGGGATTGTGCAGTACCAAATGATCATCAGCTATTTTTTTTATTGTTATCATTTTTTAAATTTTTTTTTCCCTTTTTTTTTTTTTTTTTTCCCCCTGACTTCCGAAAGACATCAAGAGGGAAAAATCCTGAAAAAGAAAGACGTGAGAGGAAATAGTTTTCCCAGGCGGGAAAGGGGCAATTTCACACCGGAGACCCCGTTCATTAGGGACGCGGGACAGACCCCCGTATTTGGGCCCCAATCACCCCCGTGTTTGGGCCCCAATCACACCGCGCGGGGCGTGATTGATGGCGCGACAACAGACGCGGTCATTATACATGTAATAAAAAGCCGCAGGATCGGTGTTTGTTAACCGATGTGACCGAATGTGTTTTTTTTTTGTTTTCGTAATGGCCTTCGATGGGGCCATTACGATGGCCACTTTGGCCATTACGATCCATTTTCTCCGGGATCGATTCCGGTTTTGTGACATGGGCTCGTTGCGCGACCCGGCCCGGCAATCGTAGGTATGGCAATTGTCGTTATGACAATCGTCTGTCTGGCAATTGTCGGTCTGGGAATTGTCGGTCGGGCGATTGTCGGTCTGCGAGTCGTACTGCGGTCGGTTTCGGGCCGAATTAGCAATAAAAATTTACACTGTGGCATCGGGGAGGAGATCCTGCGGATTCTTAATGCAACAGGTGAGTGTGCGCCTGTTGCACAGGCGCGAAACACCTAGGACCTTTTGCATGCGTGCCAATCGCACATTTGGCCCATGCTGAAAGGAAAACAAATGGCCTATGTACCATATACACATTCGGCCTTTCTATAAGGATAAGCAAGGCCCATGCACAAAGATAAGCAATTGGTCCATCTACAAAGGTAAACATTTGGTCCAAGCACAAAGAAAACCATTTGACCTCAGCGAAACAATCTCACAAAAAAGCGCATGAAACTTCGACGATAAAAAAAACCCTGTGGCATCTAAAGATGGAACCATAATCGGAGGGGGGGAGGGGGCAAGAGGGGCAGGAGGAGAGGGAGGAGGGGGGGGAGGGGGGGAGGGGGGGGAAGGTGTGTGCGCCTGGAGAGAAAACACAAAGGACACGGAAACACAAAGAGCCTCTCGCGATGCTCCGTCAATTACATGGTGGCCATGCATAAAGGAAATGATACGTCCCTTCCAATAATGACAAGCCAGGGCCCGCCAATTTATTTGCTGCATGGGCTCGGCAATGGGCCCGGCAATGGACCCGGCATTATCTCGCCCTCGGTGATTATTACACTCGGATCCTCGCGCAAAACATTCATCCTCGTTTAATACCGGGGACAAGTGTAAAATTCCTCTAATTTCCCCTCGGCACCAGAAAATTGCCCCGATAGGCATCGGCTGCGCCGGATCATAGCAATTGGCACGGTTTCGGGGCAATCGGCACGGCGTCTCGGACCGTTTCCAGCCCCGTCGACTCATCCCGGTGAAACGCTCCGAATTTTGATGCCACGTGTCGGCGATGACAGATGACATCAAAATGATAAATAAATTTCGGGAAAGCACTTTCGGAAAACGGCCAATGGGAAAAAAATAAATAGGTAAATAATTTGATAAATGTATTGATATTTACAGAGCAGCCCGGCCCTCAAGCGCAACTACTCGCCCCAATCGGAGGTCGCGAGTCAATGGGAAACGAAAATTATTTTGGCAAATTATTTTCAAAAATATTTGAGCTTCCATAATTATTTTGGCTTCTAAAAATATTTGAGCCTCCAAAATTGTTTGGACTCCCAAAAGAAGGAGTGCATGCCCTCGAGGGCCGTTATCACCACCTACCGTTATGGAGTCATTTAAGCCTTTGACTGATTCCCGCGAGGGCCGGAGGTCGGCAACTTATCACGGACCTTTATCAAGACATATCAAGCAATTTATTCAGATCCCTATTAGAATAATTCGAAGCCCCCCATTTAAAGCGGCGTGGTGTGGCAATTAGAATGGGAAATGGCGGCAAAACAGAACGTGTCTAGACAGATTAATAACGACATTAGTAACGTTATCGTTGGCCATTCCGAACGACCGACGGCTCGGTTTCGCCCCTGATTTGCATCCCTGATAATCCCTGATAATTGCAGATATTCCACTGCTCTGTTGGATGTTCATTCTAATCTGGCCATCGTTGATGACCGAAAGGTTAAAGAAGGCAAATAGTCTTTTCGATTGCTTCTTTTCTTGAGTATTTGCTTTCCTTAGTATTTGCTTTCCTTAGTATTTGCTTTCCTTAGTATTTGCTTTCCTTAGTATTTGCTTTTCTTAGTATTTGCTTTCCTTAGTATTTGTTTCTTGAGGTTTTTCTTGAGTATTTAAGACGATTCCCTGGATCGTTTCAGGTATGGTTCCAGAACCGCCGCGCAAAGTGGCGAAAGCAGGAGAAGGTCGGCCCGCAGAACCATCCGTACGGGACGCCTCTGACCTCCCTCCCCTCGAACCCCCCCGCACCTAGTCTGACCTCGACGATCTCCTCCCCGCTGATGTCCCACCTGACCTACCTTCGCAAGCCGTTCGACGGGTCGCTGTTGGCGGCTCCTCCCCGCCTCCCCTCCGCCTACCACCCCTACCATCTCCCGTACCTCCCTCCCCCGCTGACCTTCCGCCATCCGTTCTTCCCCTCGCCCCTCGTGCCCCCGATGACCGCCTCGTTCCAGAGCCTCCTCGCCTCCCTCTCCGCCCACCGGCCCAAGGTTCCCCCGGAAGTACCAGGAGCCTCCGCGCCCATCAGTCCCGCCTCCGCTCCGTCCGAGGACGAACTCGACCGACGGTCCTCGTCCATCGCCGCTCTTCGCCTCAAGGCCCGGGAATTCGAGATGCAGCTGGAAATGTCCAGGAAAGGCGGCGACGTCGTCAGTTGAATCTGTGATCGAATCCTTTCCGTTTTCGAGTACCGAGGAGCACCTCCGAGAGCACCTCCAAGAGCACCTCCGCGAGCACCTCCGAGAGCACCTCCAAGAGTACTGGCCTTCCCAAAGAGCAGCTTTATTTTCTCCGTCCCCGTCGAAACCGACTCTCCGTCCCATCGTGTGTGTCTAGCATGTAGAACGTTCACTGTGTCATATTAATTGTCGTATTAATTTATGATCGTCGTTGCGACTTGGAGATTAAACCCCGTGGTTTTTCGGATAAATAATTTATTTCTTTCTCCGAGACCCGTCATCACCGCGAGACACCGTCGTCTTTGTCTTCACGTCCATTACGAGTGGACGAGACGAGAAAGGCTCATAAATCTGCCGAAAATCATAGGAGAGGACATGCAATCGGAGTTCGTGTCCGGCCATCATTAGCCGGGCCCAGCTCCGGCCATGAAAACTCCATTAAAACTCCCCACGGGTGTCATTATTCCTGAGCATCGGAGGCACTTCAGCGGCGGAGCCAGGACGATGAGGGGCGAGGGGGGAAGGAGGGGGGGAAGGAGGGGGGGAAGGAGGGGGGAAGGAGTACAGAATTGGGTTTCAAGTTTCCAATTTTATTATTTACCTATGGAATTTGGAGTCTGAATTTTGGACTCGACGAGAACTTAATATACACCAAATCTTATGGGATTCGTGTTCCAAAAGATTTTTATACAATTTAAATCTGATCTGTGGGACGAAATAAACTCTCCTAATGGTGTACAGGCCTGGAAAGTCAGGAAGTGAATTGCCTCAAACAAGACAAATTGCTTCTCCTCGCAACCTCAGGAAGACAAAGTACATTAAACATATATATGTGCTTGTGTACATATATATATATATATATATATCCTCTCGGAGTCGGGCCGGCGTGGCTCCGCCCCTGGCAATTACCCCCCGAATGACATCCCCTCTTTAATGGACAGTCGGGACTATTAATTTCTGCGCGACTGTAATTACCCGGGGCCCCTGTCGTTGCTCAAATTATGATTTATCCCCTTAATGGGAGTGCAGGAGGCTCATATACGCTCGGCTCATATACGCTCTTGGGTGGTTTCTTAACAACCGCCGTACATAAACCCACGGGGGAAAAAAAAAATTAACCCCGGCTGCCTCGTTAAATTTACCCCCATTTAATTCTAATTAAATGTGTCAATCACCGGTAAGGGTATGGAGATGGCGCCCATCATTCCCCCCGTCGTAATGGCTTGTCAAAAGCCGCGTAATTGATTCCCCCCTCGTGTTTGCAAATGAGGACGGCTGAAAAATAGAGTCCGCCCTTTCTCCCCCTGCCCACATTTTTTTCCTTCCTCCCTTTCTCCTCCCACCTCGGAGATTGAGACGAGATTAAGACGGGATTAAAACGGGATTAAGACGGTAAACGCTCGGTGTGATTTAGGGGCCCGCTTTTTAAGGGGAATTACGCGCCGACGTGATTTTTTTTTTTTAGAGGGGAAAATGTTTTCAAATATGTTAATGAAAATTGGCCCAAAATAGCCGAAAATTGGCCTAAAATAGCCTAATACAAATATTTTCCCCCGAGGTTAAACGCTTAATAAAGGAAGCAAAGCTTGTCTTCGTTAGCCCATAATATATTGCCTTTATTAAATTTATAATTTATATTTATGACATTTTCTGATTTAAGCCTGCTTTCTTATTAAATAAATCGCTAACGCGTCTGTCACGCTCGATAACGCAAACGCAGCACGACGGATGGAATCCGGTTTTTTTTTCACAGAGCCATGTAAACCTGTTTAGATCCGAGAAACTTAATGGCGGATGCCAGGGATGCCAGAGCTAATTGCCCCGGTCCGAGAGGGTGGTTTGTAATGGTCAAAGTGTGGCACGACTCTAATTACTTCTTAGTTTTTTCTTAGTTTTTTTTTTTTGCTTTCCTAATTGACTCGAAAAGTTACTCCGGGCTCATTCCGTTCGAGTTGTTCGGTTTCGTCATCGCTTCCGTTTCGCCCGGGATTCGAAAACTCGTTTGAAATGTTTGAAGTATTGTTCGCTTTCATTTATTTGAGGTCTGAGCGTTTTAAAGAATATTAACGAATTACTACCAAGGATTATTATATCTTAAGATCATCCAAGATTAGCTGGAAAACTTGATAACAAATAAAGAAAAGGCAATCGTGCTGCATCATTACGAATCACCGCCCGCGATTCAGTCAAGATCCCTGCACAGATTTAAGATCCTTACACGATTTTTAAGATCCCTACACGATTTTTAAGGTCCCTGCACAGATTTAAGATCCCTGCACGATTTTTAAGATTCCTATCACAATTTAAGATCCCTACACAGATTTAAATTTTTATTTTTAAGGAATCAAGATCCCTGAATGAAGATCCCTAAATGAGTGAAGACCCCCAGGTTAAGATCCCTAAATGAGAAAAGACCCCCAGGTTAAGATCCCTTAATGAGCGAAGATGGTTTCATCGGTTATTGACCCCTGCCAGTGATTGAGATAGCGACTTCCTATAGCAATGGATTGAGATAGCGACTATTTAGATTGAGATCTCTTCTTTTATTGAGGCAGTTGCGCTTTTCATCGCGGAACAATGGGCCGAGCGTTCGGCGGCCCTTCGGGTCGATGGAGCGGTTTCACATCAGGGAAAAAATTGAATGAGGAAGCCATTATAATATTATAATGTTATAAGTTATTATAATGGTGAGGGCCGTGTCATGGAGGCGAAAGGGGCACGGGGATATGCAAATTCAACGGTACAAAATATTTAAATGTAAATGACTTCATACCACCGAAGCACCGCATCTGTAGTGATGCTGAGCATTTCCCAATTCCTCACCACTGCAAATAATTCCGGAAAAAAACACAATTTGCGGATGAAATCCTTTATAAAAAGGAAAATTAAAGGAACATTCCGCCTTTTGGAGGAGAATCTTCGCAAATTTAACTCATGGGTCCCAAGGCCTAGGAATATTCTTTTATCAAACGATGAATTATAAAAGCATTCTTAGGCCAATTGACTAAATGGGAAATCTTTGACGCCGATTGGGTTACATGCAAAACTTGCGAATTTATATCAGCCAATTGGTTAAATAGTACACTTTCGTACGCCAATTGGTTAAATAGGGCACTTTCGCACACCAATTGGTTAAATAGGACATTTTCGTACGCCAGTTGGTTAAATAGAGCATTTTCGCACACCAATTGGTTAAATAGGACATTTTCGTAAGCCAATTGGTTAAATAGGACATTTTCGTAAGCCAATTGGTTAACTAGAAAATTTCCTTCTCAGCTTCTTCGAAACGAAACGAGGGAGTGGCGGAAAAAGGAAGGGAGAGGCTTTTATCTGGATTGCATCATCGCTCCCTCCCCTCTCCTCGATAGACATCACTGCAATAAAAGACTAATCAAGTCAATTAAGTAAGCAAAATGAGGGGTGAAAGCAGGGGGGCTGTTATCCACTATTAGATCATAATTGAGCTCCGGCCTCGGCGACTTCCTCCATTCATTCCTAATGGCGGCCGATTATGGTTCCCCTCTCGCGGGAATTGTTTTATGTGAGGCGCCGATGCGCGCCCGCGACCGATGAGAAAGTTCCGGGGGATCGGTTCCTTCGGCTTGGTGCGATCTCGGTCTCTGCTTGGTGTGAACTCGGCTTCGGCTTGGTGCGATCTCGGCCTCTGCTTGGTGTGAATTCCGCGGTTGGTGTCGTCTCGTTTTAGACCTGGTGTGATCTTCGCGCTCTTCTTTTCCCTTATTTACGACTTAGGCTTTCGATTCTCTCGCTTTCGCTTCCCAGGAAAATTACTTAATTGAGCTTTTTTATGGCTCAATTTATTTTCTGCTAATGAGAAAAACTCCTTTTTATTGTTTTCCTAAATTAAATTTTATTCTTCATTTTTTTTTCTCGAAATCAGTTTTCCGGCAGATCCACCAAAAGATTCATCGGAGAGAGGGCGCGATCTCAGAGAAAACCACCAAGTCACCTCCAGCAATTACAGGAATCTCCTGGGAGCAATTACAGGAATCTCCTGCGAGCAATCACAGGAATCTCCCATTGAGACGCTCCCGACCCCGATTGAAAGCCGCGATCAAAAACAACTCCGATCGCATTCGATTCTCCGACGATTGCCTTCCCATTGCCTCCCCATTGCCCACAGGGCAATAGGCAATTGGGGGTCCCACAACATTTATAATAAAAAATAAAAATAGATTGAGCCCACAGGGCTACTGCTGAAAAAAAAAATTTTTTTTCTTTCATAAATACGTTAATTGTGTGAAGATTTCGCTGCGTCAGGGCCAGCCAATCAGGGACCCCGCTGCGAAAGGCCGAAAGGCTCACAATGGGCCCTTTCCATTCTTCCCTTGACATTCGTATTTATAAATTTAATCAGTCGGGATATTGTCGGGGGCATTGTTCCCGGGATGACAGCACGTTTCCCATTGTGTCCGGCCGCGGGGCGCTGCCGCGCCTCATTTCCGCCCCGCGATTGGATTCGGCCCCCGCGATCGGATTCTGCCCCGAATTCCGTCTTAATAACTGGAAAGTGATGACTCGCTCCCGTGTCGTATTTTTTTTTTTTTACATTTCCGCCTTTTTTTGGGAGTCCGGAAGTGCCCGTTTTGCAATTTCCGGAGGAGCGTCATTCCTGGAACATTCTCTGAACTTCATTCCCGGAACGTTCTCTGAGCTCATTACTTCTTAGCCGGGGCTCTCTTTCTCTATTTCCGGATTCCGAATATTTTGCCAAAAAAGGAAAACATGAAAAGGTGAACTGTAATATTTGACAATTTTAATACTAATAAGTATTTTAATAATAATGATTATTTAAATAATAATTATATGCATTTTTAATGATATGAACTATCTTAATAATAATAATAATTTCTTAATAAATGCAAGCATTTCAAATATTTTCCCACGGAGATCAACGCTGATGAGAAAATCCACATCGCAGAAGCCTTTCTTCCCCCTCAGCGATTCCGCTCACGCGTGAGCGGGAGATACACCGTTGCCTAATAAGGCCGAGGTGTCAGGGGGCTGAGCAAATAGAAAGAGGAGATGAGATCCGTCGCAATGCATCATCCGCGTGCATGCAACGCCTCGGGCGGCTCTTTTTTTTTTCTTTGCCATTACAGAGCTGTTTTTTATTTCTTTGACATTACAGAGCTTTTTGCTTGCCTGCCAT